ATCAAGTATACATAATGTTCCAGCGGAAAAAAACTGAGAATACCCCTAATAATCATCGGTTGATTTTCACTGGTGCTCACTGACATCCATGGAGATAATATGGAACCAGTTATCTTCTCGCAAGATGTGAAATCTGCCTTTTGGATTACTGATTTCCCGTCATTTGCCTGCCACTAATTTCAAATTTTTATGGCAGTCGGACAAGTTATGACGCATAAGGTCATGATGCACCAGAGGCACATGCACCCATAGCCATGTGTCTTGTGAGGTCACTCACATAGGGCTTTTCCATAACACAGCATGCAATGGAAAATGCCTGGTCTGCTACTACTTTTCAACCCTTGACCATTTATAAGAAATAGCACATGCGAAGTCATTCCCACTACTTTTGACAGAATGGACCATTTGCTTGGAATGTGGCAAATTCTTTAAAAAAAAAAATTAGAATCACCAATTATTGCTTGTTAACCCACCCAATTTAGAACAGTTCATTGTGTATTTACCACTGCAAGCCACCTCACAAGGAGAGAATGAAGAAGCACAAGCTTAGCATGGAAGGTTTGTGGAAGTTCAACTCTTTCTATGTCACATGTTTATTCCTAATGCAAACTCCAACCCCAAAGAAAGGCTGCAAAATATATCCGGAGCTAAATCCAAAAGCCCACACAGCCTAGTCCCATTTTAAGTCCCATTACAAACACAACAGTAACATCAACAGAAGGCTACTCTTAAGGGGAATCCTTACCCTAACCCAAGCTCCACTCTGAGGTTACCATCAGGCAACTGTTCAGTTCATTTTGAAATGCATTTCAGACTAGTAATATAACTTGTCTTTCATCATGTCACAGGCTCGGCTTTGACTGCACAAGAGGCTGCAGCAGTCGCTGTGTGGCCCTGATGACCAATCTGACTTCTACTGGCTGCTCTCAGCTTCCCCACTACAGAATCCTGGTTACAGTTGGCTAATGATCCAGGCTCAAACCTGCAACACCTATACTGCAGATTTCCATGACCTTGGCCATAAATCTCCACCTATGATTGGAGGCTGAGGATGACGGTTGAGTCTGGCACTGTATGTATTATTTATGTGTACATCTGTGATCTAGATATTGAATGAATCTTACATACTGTGTATGAAAAACATTGGCACATCTGATCAGATACTTATAGGTGCATTGAAGAGGGTGATTGCTTTGAAACAAAGGTACTAAACTCCTACACATAATTCTATGCAAGTATCTTCATAAGAAAAAGAAAAATGTTTTGCAATAAATTTGTCAAAACATTGGATGAAGATCTTTAGGGAGAGATGTTGGAAAACATTTTGTAGAAATGAAATGAGTTTGCAAAGAACATGTGTAGGAGTTTACCATAAATACACGCCAAGGAATTTAGTTTCATATCCTAGTCCATTTTGTGCCCTGAAACAAAAAAGTGTTTCACCAAGGGGTTCTTTTTTTATTAATAGAACTTAAAAAAAATCTCCAGGAAACACAACATGTAGATGTATATCATGTAATGATCAATGAACTGAGTCATGAGGAGGGTCTGCTCAAGGCACAAGATGAAATCCCAGAGAACAAGCAACGAGATGGGTGTCTATGAAACAAGAAACCCAATCCTGTACGAGTTCAAATCTGGAGCAAATTGTGCTTGATGAGTCACTTTCATTCCAAATTCAGCTGACCCTACACCCAGCATTGAAAGCTAAGGTTGGATTGATAGTAATTCACTTGGAATTTATGACTGTTGTGACAAATTAAAGAAACAAATAATAGGGTGATATCACGTGCTGGAATGAAAAAGTGGGCACAAAAATCTCAGTCTGCTTGTTCTTCTGTTGCTGTGAGTTTACCCAGCCTTTACTTCATTGCCAGTGTTGAGGCCAATGACAGAAGGCACAATGAACTGTGCAGTCATGCTGCAGATGCTGAGCCAGCAGAGGCACTGATGTAAATGGTGTCCTTGCATGTGTTAAGCTACCAATGACCAGACGAGCAAAATGGCCAGAATACCTACTACCAATAGCCAGTAATCAATACAGGGCATGTTGGTTAATAACTGTCTATCATTTTAAAACCAGCACAGAGGAGGATTCATGCTGGATCTTTCCCATAGAGTATCTCCACTTGCAGGTCTCATCACTCAACTCTTAAGATTCTTTAAACACATGGAAAAACTATTTCAACCATGACTGCATTCGTGTAATGTCAGCAAGCACATTTATGTATTCAATTCAATCATACACACTTCTTTCTGACATCAGCATGATTTAATGTGTCTGTTTTTCAGTACTTCAGAGCAAGCTGTAGTAATAGAAATATAAGTGGTTCTGTTTACCCAAGTCTGTGCATTGTATGGTGTCAATATAACCATGCTGCGATGTTCCATAAACCCTGCTCCAGGACCAGACTTGCAGAAGCTGCTGGGTGTCTGATCCTGTTTGATCAGAACACGGGGTGAGCCCTATGGCCCAGACATCACAGTTCAGCTCTGGGTTCCACAATTAACCAACTGTAACCATCACTCTCCATGCAGCGGCGTACAGTATGACTGCCTGCGAGGCTGAACTAACTGCAGTCAGGTAGAATATCCTCAGCCTGCCATACAACGGCAGCAGCCGGCGAGGCTGCAGTCATATCACTGTAACTCTCTGTGGACACTGGGGTGTGTGTGTGGGGTGAAAAAAGGCGTATGGCTGGACAATTTACGTGTTGGAGGAATCCTAGCACCAGCTCAGGTTGCTGTTTCTCTTGTAGGAAGGTTTCTGAGGTCAGCGGTGTAATGCAGTGGACTTATACAGTAAGTATATGGTTGCTTCAGCAAAATACATCAGTTAAACTGGATTAATTTTGTTGATCCTTCATAGGAAACTGATGAATGTTTGGAATGTATTATACAAACTTGAAAAAAAATCTAAATTGCACTTTACAACAAAATAGATAAAGCTGATATAGATGACACTCTCCTGCCAATACGAATATGAAAAGACACTGCACAGCATATTTTTAAACTGTTGTTTTATGTGGTAAATATATAATTCATAGCACATAAATGAGCAGAATGAACAGGAAAAGCACTAAACCACAAACACCTTTCAAACTTAAATGGAAATGTATTTTTTTTTTGAGAAACTGGCAGAAAACTGAAGCCTCATAGTGAACCTTTCAACCAAACTTGGGTTCCTACAGCTACTGGATATTCTATAGCTTCCAAAAATAAGACAATTTTAAAAGCAAATTATTTGCAATTGTGTTGGAAAGAAACTCATCATCTCATTGATTAGTAGGGTTTATGGTAAGTTTTAAGTTACGTGCACACTTATATTTCCATATTTACTGTTTCATCACCATAATATAATCCTGAACCTTTCTTGACTCACACTTCACAACAGGTGAGAAACACAAGTTCCTGGATATGAAGTTTCCCGTCATAGCAGACCTACAGCACAGTCTTAAATAGATTTCTGCACAAAGGTTAATATTCATACCCTGTATTTAAAAAAAAAAAAGATCCTACACTGTAACAGAACCCTTAAATGTTAGACTTAAGCAGAGCCATGAAAGCCATATGACAAGACTCTTGAATGTTTTTTGTCAGGGAAATGTCAACCTATTCCTCATTTCAAATTGTTGCCAAATAGTTTTTCTTTGCTCGACATTTTGTAGTGCCAGGTATACTTAGCAGATTCCCATTCAAAACAACCTACAGTACAGCACACAGAGTTTCTTTCCATAAAGGAAGTTTGAGTAAAACAATCACTGTTTCTAGAGTACTAAATTGTCAGTAATATGAAGACACGTTTGTGTTTTTTTGCTTTGTCTCAGTCAACACAGCTTCATTAGTTTTCTTTACAATCTCAAGGCAGTCCAACAGTTCCACAGTACTGTATATGATGTAAAATCACCATTATTGTAAATTATTATATGCAATAATGGGTCTGGAACAGATTGGATGGACTCTATGAAAGGAATTTAGAGGAACGTTATAGGGCAAAAGAGAAGCCATTATTATGTATTATAAGGATTTACTGGGACCTGATACTGGTCTGGACTGGCGGTCAGGTTATATGCAAGTCTGCCTGAACTCCACACCCTGGGTTTCACCTTCACTGAGAAAAGCATGATTGCATGCAAAAATAACTACTGGGATCTGCAATGCAGAATAAGATACTGTAATATGACAATGTGGCCTGACTGCAAATGAATCTGGCCCTATAGTTCTAAAATGCTTCAAGTTATCTTCCACCCATACATAGTCGAGGGCGTTGCTCATCCAAGGTCTCGGTTTTTTCTAATTTTCCTGTCATGACATGTCATTTGCACGAAGCTTCTCCCTACTGATAAAATCTAGAAAATGAAACATTTTGCTGCCAGTTTACTGTAAAGACCAGAATGAAACATCAGGCATTAAGGAAGAGAAGCATGCAATTGATTATTCTTGTGTTCTACTGTATGTGCTAGAGAGGTAAATTCTTGTTTGCTAGATTTAGTTTTCTGATTTCTGACCAATCTATTTCAATATAAAAGTTTTTTCTAACTGCTGTTTTTCTCATTTTAAGCGAAACAGGCTGCCAGTACACCTCCACACTGGGATTAAACTGATCTTTTGATTATGAGGGTCATTCAGGAATACTTAGAAAAATACAAAGGCCCAGTTATTATGGCGTCACAGCATGAGGAACATAACCACCTAATAAGCTGGAAAGTAAGCAGGAGAGCACAGATTAAAATAAAAAGCCACAAGGCTCGTGCTTCCTCCCTTAAACAAACACATCCATGGGGTTCCTGCAGAATCACTTTCGAAGAAAGAACATATATAGCAAGAAAACACGATGTGAGAGAGTTTGCAAAGGCAGGGGTCTCAAATAACATGAGATTCCAACAGTGTGTGCTATTGCGGTTGGTGGGGGGGCATTTCAGAGAGAGTGGGGCAGATAGTAAATAAATAGACAGCCGGTGTGGGCAAGCCCCTAGCTTCATAATGAGTGTTTCACTTACTGTGTAATTTGGCGTGATTGTCACGGGTACCCCATCCTCAGTATAATGGGTCTCTGTGAAATCTTGGCCCAGCAGCTGACTGCAAGAAAGCACAGATAAATAAAAGCAGTGTGATTCTTTTTATAACTCTCACTGAATTTATTTTATTGCCAAGTAAAGAAAAAAAGAAAATTATTTTAGCGCAATATGTGTTTATCATGTTGTCAGTCATTAGTACAAGACACATAATGGAAATGTCATTCACTTACACAAAAAGGAGTACTATTCCAAAGCTCAGTACATCAGCTTTTATTGCTACACTAGACTGGCAAACCACCACTGCTTTCCAAAAAGGTTTATAGCAACAAATAAGCAATGCATTTGTTCAAGTGGTTCACACTGTAATTAAACAAAATAATTGCAGAAAGAAGAAGAAGCGATCTTGTCTGAAGGTTTTCTGAACGCACAGTTCAGTGAATTGATAGATACACAATGCTGTTTTCCTCCAGATAAGATTCTAACAATAATGACAAAAACAACTTTTATGCCTTCTAATTAAACTCCTAACAGCAGGATTACAGCCTCTAACTGCCAGACCGCTACTGGAGGGGGAGGGAAATATGAAAGGTATGAACCATAAAGCCTTGATTACATTAAAAAAAATACACAAAACACCTACAATGTATACAAGAATGTACACATTCTTTTTAAGCAACAAAATACACGCCGATGATTAAGAAAAAAGTATACTTCTCCATTGCTCCATATCAGACTGAAAAAACAACAAAACCCCCCAAAAAACAGACATTAACAAAGCTGCCCCGGTCTTTGAAAAATCTGGCGGCAGAAAGTTGAAAGATCAGAAGCAGGGGACGAGTTGAGAGTCAGCCCCTGAGCTCTGTTTTTCTAAGAGATGCTGGTGTAATGTCTGGGAAGAGGCCCCAGTCTGCCTCACAGCTGGCTCTGAGATCTGGAGTGGACTCACACAAGAGAACGTCAGCGTTATCGTGTCTAAGAGATGGCAGACGCAGTCCCACTCACGATCCATGTAAGGCTCTGCTCAGAGACACCAGGGGAAACAGAGGGAGCATTTACACTTAACCCAGTGAGCACAGAGAGCCTGGGATATACTGGGAGGAAAATACTACAGGGATGGGGTTGAGGTCTAAACAAAGTATTCAAGCATGATTCACATTGGCTTCCTCTTATGCCAAGCTCATTATTCTGTTTCTGAAAAAGTGCTTTATTAGTGCAGTCAGACTTTGTGCATACTGTATGCAGGATGGGATGCATAACATAAAGCAATGATTGTGGAAAGATGTCTAACTTTTATGTCAGGAACAGAGCTAGTCTCCATCACAAGTACTTATATTTATTTACTCCTGTTGCATCTCCTCTGTAACTATTTGAGCTTCTTGATGTTCATCTCCTATACCTGCCTTCAAAGCTGCTGCCAGAAAGTCCCTAAGCTGTGTGCTTTCATTGCATATCCAACACAGTGATGCCTATTCATGGCAACTGGGGTTCAGCTTTTCATGATACAGATACAATGAGACCTGTGTTTCCTATATATTGTCTGTCTGACAAAACATGGAAATTGTGTGGGGATTCCCATGATGATCAGATGTATTGGAACATGGAAGTTGTCTATAGGAAGTTGCCAGTTAAAGAATGATTTCGTAAACACTTCTGCTATCTGTCTTTCTCTCTCTCAGGGTTCATACTGGGTGCACACTATATAAAGGATCCATTTTTGTAGTTACCATGCGACAGTCTAACATCCTAAGGCTAACACACTTCACGTACATTACAAAGAAAAGAGAACTGCACATTTCCTGCTCACGCTTCAAAGCTGCTGAATTCTGAGAAACACATTCACTTTGCAACTTCTGAATTGGTAGATTTGACAGGGTTGTAAAATAAAAGCATCTGACTTCATGGTTTGAAAACAAGAACACCTCACAATGTCTGGAGAAATTCTCATTTATTATGCGATGTTGTGATGTTTCGCTGTCTGTAACGAGCCCGCAGGGGCTGCTTTGCATAATTTCAAGATGGCATTGCCAATCTTACTGTTTCTAGCTCTCTGGAAAAGCAGGAGGAAGAAATAAGAACCTAACAAAAGGAGCACAGAAAACAATAATGACTTGTTTGCATTAAAGGTCACAGCAGACACGAAGCATGTGGAGACATTTGCTAAAAGACAGCTTTTCAACATCTTGCTGAGCAAATGCTTCCTACAAATTACCTGTTATTACAAACCAGTCTGTCTGTAATTGTTACTGCACATTCCAAACTGCTTTCTTTATTTTAGTAGGAGAAATCTGGGTGACAGGTTATATCTACATGAACAGACGAATGAATTGTGTTTGCCATTAAAATAAATTAGTTTCAAATGTGCAGTAAGATTCCTTTAATCTAATGTTTATTATTGTATCGGCGCCATGTGCTACATAAGCATTTTGCTTTATAGACAGTATTAGGTTTAACAACATAAACATGCAAAAAGCCATTTTCTCTTCCATGACTGAATTTGTGCAGCTTGTGTTAACTAAACTTGATTTACAATGTGTGTGGTAAAATGGTTTAGCTAATCAAGAATTTCTGACAAGTTTACTTTATGAATAAAAGCTCCACATCCCATTGGCTGCCCAGATGTGTGCAGCTTCATCATTTCTCTCAACAAAATCTACCTGCATCCTCAGGCGTTGGTTCTGATTTTCATTTTATGGTGCATATCTTTAAAGAAGACGTCGAAGGCACTGTAAAAACTCTGTAGAACATATGTGGGGCATTTCAAAGCCAAGACGTTCAAGTAGATCACAACAGACAGATTCATCTCCTACTAATCCTCTCTAATCTAGTATTATGTTGTCTAATCATTTGCAGATTTAATCTATCTAATCTATCTAATCATTTGCAGATTTCGGCTTTTTACCCCTCTCCTCCTGTTCTCCCTGAGTTTGGAGACCAGTCACTCATTCATTCTCACATGCCATATGCTTGTTAGGCTTCACTGCTCTCCACCCCTGTCTTTTGTTCTCCTGTGCCTTATTTATGTGCTGCTGCCCCTGTCTCCCTCATAGCTGTAGAAGCTCCCCAGCCGAAACGTGTTTCTTGTCCTTAACTTTCAGCGTGGAACGATGCTTTACCTGTTCCACTTCAAACTCAAGATTCTCTTCTTCCCATTCCAGGGAATTCCACAATGTCAGGAAAAGGTCAGAATTACTTACAGGTAATTCTTTCAATATTTTCTGATAAATCCATGCATTCACATAGGACTTTTCACCTCAAGGTACTTTACATACTGATGTCACTGACAGAAGATTGGCACAGGAGAAACGTGCTGGGCTCATATTGCAGAGGTTTATGGATAAAAAAAAACATTCTCTGCTATGTATGCTTGCAAGCAGCCATATAACCCTACAACTCTCAACTGTCAGCCCACTGAAACTCAGGAGGTGTGAGCCTGGTCAGTACCTGGATGGGAGACCTCCTGGGAAAAACTAAGGTGCTGCTGGAAGAGGTGTTAGTGGGGCCAGCAGGGGGCGCTCACTCTGCAATCTATGTGGGTACTAATGACCCAGTACAGTGCCTACAAAAAGTATTCACCCCCCTTTTTCACATTTTATCGTGTTACAGCATGGAACCATGATGTACAGTATTTAACTGAGAATTTTTGCCACTCATCAACACAAACTACTTTGTTTCTGTTTTTTTTTATTTTTAATTAATTAGTAAAATGTCTGGATTTCTTTTCACTTTGACATTATAGAGTACTTTGTGTTGATGATTGGCAAAAATGATCAGTTAAATATATCATGGTTCCATGCTGTAACCCAATAAAATGTGAAAAAGTCCAAGGGGGGTGAATACTTTTTATAGGCACTGTAAAGTTACGGGGACACTATACTGAAAAAAGGGCCTTACGGATGAGATGTAAAACCAAGGTCCTGACTTTCTGTGGTCACTACAAATCCCAGGGTGTTTCTCGAAAAGAGTAGGGGTGTAACCCTGGCGTCCTGGCCAAATTTCGCATTGGCCCTTACCAATCATGGCCTCCTAATAATCCCCCTCTATGAACTGGCTTCGTTACTCTGCACTGATAGCTGATGTGTGGTGAGCGCTCTGGCGCACTATGGCTGCCGTCACATCATCCAGGTGGGGCTGCATGTAGGTTGTGGTGGAGGGGATCCCCATTACCTGTAAAGCGCTTTGAGTGGAGTGTCCAGAAAAGCGCTATATACAGTTGTGAGAAAAAGTTTGTGAACCCTTTGGATTTCTGCATGAATGGCTCCTAAAATGTGATCTGATCTTCATCTAAAGTAAGTCATAATAATACATTTGTTCTTATTTAACAAACAACACCCACAACATTTTACATTGCCATATCTTTTTTGAACAAATGGTTTAAACAATTAAGGTCATTGATGGAAAAAGTATGTGAACCCTTATATTTAGTAACTCGTGGAACTACCTTTATTGGCAATAACCTCAACCAAACTTTTTCTGTAGCTGGAGGTAATCTGGCCCATTCCTCTATACAGTACAACACTGTTTCAGTTCATGTATATTTATGAGATGTCTTTCTTTACTAGCCTGCCTGAGATCACGCCACAGCATTTCAATGGGACTGAGGTCAGGACTCTGACTTGGCCATTCTAAAATACAGAATTTCTTCTGTTTGAGCCACTCTGTTGTTGATTTACTCCTGTGTTTTGGATCATTGCCATGTTGCATGACCCAACTTCTTTTGAGTTTTAGATCACAGACAGACACCCTGACATTTTGCTGTAGAATTTCCTGATACAACTTGGAATTCATTGGTCCCTCAATGATTGCAAGCCATCCAGGCCCTGAGACAGCAAAGCAGCCCCACACCATTATGCTCTCTCCACCATGCTTCACAGTTGGGATGAGGTTTTGGTGTTGATATGCAGTGTTTTGTTTTCTCTTTCTCCAAACATAATGCTGTGTACATTTACCAAAAAGTTCAAATTTTATCTCATCTGTCCACAGAACATTGTTAGAGCAGTGCTGTGGAACATCCAGATGGTTGAGACGTGCATCAATGTTTTTTTTGGAGAGCAGTGGTTTCCT